TGGTGTTTACTGTTGGATTATTTACAACAACCCAAATGTCTCTATTGTTAAGAGTAATTCGGGTACCCGACTTAAGATTTACGACAGTTCAAATATCGTGACGAGAAGTATATTTCTTTACAGCACGTGCTTGCCATAGGCGAAGTGTTAGGAAATTTTACAACGGGACTTGTATGGAACTTTGTTGGCCTTGAAAAGTTTACTCTAAACCCTCGGCTATCAAAGTCTCGTCAGTAGCACCGAAGATAGTAATAAATGTGCCATCCTGACCACAATCTCTTGGTTTACAATGCCAATATCATCTGGCGAAATAATTGGGTATTTCACGTCATTTTTAAACGTGCGACAAACCTATCACAATAATATTAGATTTATAAAGAACATTCACGTAAAACTTGGCAATTTTATTTGTTTAAAATTTCTTTCTTTGTGGGTATAACTAATTTCGTTTAGAGTCAGCTAGTTTTGGTTACTAAAATTGTTTAAAAGAATGTTTACTGTGTGGTAAATGACTAAATTGTACTTCAATATAATTTTTGTTTTTTTTTTTTTAATTTTTAAGTTGATAAAAATTTTAATATTATAATAAAAATAAATTATTATTCAAATTTGTGCCAACTTTAATATCATACAAGGTGATTCACGAGGAATAATGAGCCTGACCAAATTCTCGATGCAACCACCATTATTTTTCGCAAGTTGCTTTGCGACAAATGTAATGATGGTTGCATCGAGAATTTGGTTAAGCTCATTATTCCTCGTGAATCACCTTGTATAATCATTTGTGTCATTGCTTTAAATTTTACCTATGCCTTTAAATTACTGAATAAATCCTTGTTCAGTAAGTATATTTTCAAATGCGAGTTTATAATTATGTATACAGTATTTCAAAGAAATAACATTTTTTGCTCAACCTGAAAAGAGCAAATCTGAATTAAAACTTCATTATTTTGTGTCAGTGGAAAGAAGAGCTCATTTTTCTCTTGATTTTGGACTTGTAATTGTTTTTATACTTATGCTTTCTAAGTCTCATCACATTGGCAGTTTCTTGACAACGATATCACTTTGACAATCAATTATTAATTATCTGGATACATAATGATTGTTCTTGTTACAAAATGACTTTGTTTTTCATCCTAAAGCTGTTTCTTTGAGTTGTCATTTATTAAAATTATGTTTTTCACAAACTTAACTTGCGTAAACTCATTCGTCAAAGTGACATTGCTAAACCGCCAATGTTATAAAATCTAAAACGTAAAGAAAATAATAATTTATTCGACAAGTTTGGGTGCTTTATTTCACCGAGTGGATTATTAAACCACGAGTGTTAATGAGTGGTTTATCATCCACGAGACGGAATAAAGCGTCCGATTTACACAAAGACGAGTTGAATACAACATTTTAATCTTCGAATTAGACTTAACAAGCCTTAAAATTGCGCTAAATCTGTTGTTAAAAATATTTAAAAAAAATTGGTACAAGTCTAAAATCAAGAGACAAATAAACTTTTCTTTCTGCTGAATTAGAATAATGAAGTTTTAATTACAAATTAGCTCGTTTCAGGTAAAGCAAAAAATGTTTTGCAGTTTGACGTAAAATCAAAGCTAATTTTTTTTTCCTCTTGTAAGCTCAATCTAAGGACATACTATATGTTTGTTGTTTTTTCTCGTTACATATTGATCAACTGATCAATAAAACATGTTAAGTGAATTTTTTTTATATAAAACTAGCTTGCATGCACCCATGACTTCGTACGTAGATTTTTGATATAATTTTTTGTTGATTTTCAAAGAAGAAATGTGAAGTTAGTCTGTTCATCTATTTTTTTCTTGATTCATCAATTCAAAACAACGCGGGAGAAGAGAGACGATTTTTAAGAAAATGATGAAGGCACGTTACAAACGCTTACATCCCATTTCATCTCGTTGAATTTTCAGCTTCACCCTCAAAAGTCAACATTTTAAATTTTATGTTTATAATTTCGTTTAAATGTTTGCAGCCTATTTCATTACGTTATAGGTTGGTTTTTGACAAGTGCCTGATTAGTACACTTCTTCACTCTCTAAGAATTATATTTTTCAAATTTCATCTTCGTTTAAACATGTACACCCCATTTCAATCCCTTAGAAATTGATTTTTTAAAATTTCGTCTTAGTGCAGCTTTACAACCGCCAAAGAACATATCTTCCAAATTTTATGTTTCTATCTTTGTTTAAGTGTTGACAACCCGTTATAAAATATTTTCAATACGGAATACGTTGAACTGCAACAATTTCTCACTTAAGAAACGACAATCTATGGCCAGTGATGGCCAAAGTATTGTATAAAATGTCGCCAGAAAACAGTGTCACAAATAGTATATTAAAGAAGGCGTTTCATAAGGAAAGTTTTGTATTTTTTCTATTTTGCGCGTTTTACATACTTTTTTAACATAAAAATCTATTTTTCTAAATTTAGAAACTTTTTCTCTAATAAGGTTGTGGTTGGTAATAAATGTCACTAGATTTAAAAGATTGATTTTTAAAGAGTCAAATATCAAGTATTTTTTAAAATTTTATTGAATTAACAATGAATTCTGCAAATTTTCATGCACACCACCTGAAAAAAGAGAAAAGCCGCTGAAAATCACCATCACCAACCTCTTAAAAGTAAATTGTACTAATCTATTTCAGCACCCGAATCGGTATTGAAATGGGTCATAAGTCATAACCATCGGTTTTGGCACCGAAATAAGCTTTTTTTCAGACGCAAAATAGAAAAATTGCTTTTTATGCAACAATTACACAAAATGCTCATTGTGACGCCGAAATAAAAAATTACATTTTATTGTAAAAATCTTCAAGAAAAATACGAGAGCGCCAATAAATACAGGCTGGGTCATTATAGATTGACATTTCATATAAACGGGTGCAATGATATTTAACGTTACCACGAATTTAAAAGTATACCCAGGATTAGGATTGACGAAAAATTGATATCAACGACTACAAAATTAGATGTGGAGGCTACGTTTTTTTGGATCTATTGAAAAATTACATATTAAAAATTTTGAAAACCAACTTAATTTTAAAAAAGTCTTTAAAATGACGTAATGATAAAAGATAGAAAAAATCCAAGTCTACTTGTACATAACAATAGTTTTAATAAAAGTTTGTTTCATCGATAACATAAAATCTTCAGCGTAGAGGATACGTAATACCTGGAAAAAGTTTATAAAATTGTAAAAACGTGGAACCTACATTACCCCTTTTTCCAAGTTTATAAACTTTTATAACAGTTTTTTGTTATCAGTCGTTTGTTTGTCTTAGATAAAATGAATAAAAATGTTCTATTCTTTCCACAGCCTACATTATTTAATTTAATTTTTAAATTGCCCTAAAGCAAAAGTTAGTAATAAATAATAGTTAGTGAGTTTAATGAAAGACAATTTAATAAAGAATATAAAAAGAATAATTTAAAAAACTAAAATTGGTCCCACAACAGGAAGCAGCATTGATTGAACATCGATTCCAAACAATAGTTGACAAGAAACTGTTCATCTTTATTTTAAGAAATACTGTCATAATCCAGCATGTATAATTTAAAATCGTTCCAAATTATAAGTCGACAGTAATGGTTCATGGGCATTTTTGAGCTATTCCATAAGTTTGAAAAAATGACAGGATTATAATATTATTATTATACTCTTACAAATTAAAATTTGATATGCTTGTTTGTCTGTTTAAGTATTTGAAACCAACTCCATTTTTTATGCTATGAAGTAACGGAGCTTCAAATTAACAACTCCGTATAATAAACATTATGAAAATTGTAAGTCTTCAATCACAGTCTAAAAAATAATTCTTAAAATCGGCAAATAATGCAATTAAGGTAAAGCCTCTAATATGTTTATTTCATGATCGTTCCCTTAGATACATAAGGTGTAAAGTGGTATATAACTAAATATATAAATTTTTCAATTTATATACTTGATTTGACATCTGTCAAAATGAACCTCAAAATTTTCAATAAATTCACGTTTTTCATGAAATTTCGCTGACAATCATGAAAACTGTTGTTCGATACACGTGCGCTGTCTTATTTTTCAGGTCTTCGACCTCAACTACAGCACTCAGCTTCCCTTCGTGCCGCAAAATTCAGTCTCAGACCTGAAAAATAATTTGATTAATTAATTGCGCACTTGTATCGAAAATAAGTATTTTTATTTTGCTTCGATGTTCTTAAAAAACTTAGTCAGCTAATTGTAAAAACAGAAGAAGTCTTCACTATAATACCCCCATACAGGGTTATTCATAAATATGAAGCAATATTTGAACCTCAATAATGACCTATAAAATGATGTTAATTTAAATAATAACTCGTGTCCTATCTCCACTGATAAGAATTTTACAGCCCTCGGAATGTGGGTATGGAAATTTGTTTTTTTTTTTTTGTAATACTTCGAAACCATTTGACCAAATATTATGAAATTTCGAATGGTTACTTGCGAGAACATACCTTTTAAACTAGTAATTATGAAAACCGGATACATCTACTCAATTTCCGGTTACAGCAATTGCAGGTCATATTTTCGGGTTTTTTTTTTTTGGCCTCTTAACATTTATTTTTTTGCTCAAAACAATAGAGTAATCAATTTTGAAAAACGCATAACCTTTAATAACTCTAAAATAAACCGTTCTAAAGTTATTTTAATTTAAAGTGAGTACTACACAACACTGAATGCAAAAAGTAGTGACAACAAGTGACTATGGTCACATATTTTGCTGTCAGGTATCTGTCAACTTGAGATTGGAAAATTATTAGACCATTAATCGAAAATATTTAATAAAAAAGTTTAGCTCAGACTCCAAACATAACTTAGAATAAATCCAAATCGATTTTGTAGCATTTAATTCATAAAAAATTAACAAAAATTTTTAGAGTAGATGTATCCGGTTTTCGTGATTATCAGTTTAAAAGCTATGTTCTCGCAAGTAACTATTCCAAATTTTATAATATTTGGTCAAATGGTTCCAAAGATACTACAAAAAAAATAAATTTCCATACCCACATTTCGAGAGATCGTACACGAGTTATTATTTAAATTAACATCATTTTATAGGTCATTTTTGAGGTTCAAATATTGCTTCATATTTATGAATAACCCTATATGTATGTAATATCCACATTTATGCGCAAAGATTGCAATGTAAATTTATTTTGCCCAATTTCTCTTTACAATTGTAAAAATATAAAATAGAAAAGACCTACATTGTAAATTAAAGAGACCATCTAAGTTTATTGGACCGCATCTTACTATTAAAGTTTTCTATCACTAATATAAAAATTTCATGATGCTGAATTGACAAAATAATTAAAAAAAAACATTCTTGGGCAAATTTACTTTTCTGCTCTATCGTTGAAGTCTCTGTTATAACTAATCAGTGTTAAGTTAGTCATCGTTTGCCGCGTTAATTATTTTCAAAGTAAACACTAGGCGGTTTAAACAGTTATCTTCTAGACAATTAAACAAAAAACTTACCCGCTAAACCCCAACCGACACCGTCTTTTAACATTTTGAGCACCAAAAGCTCATTCGTCGCATACTAACATAATTACTCTTCTTACACACTGGAAGAATTTTTTATGAACCGCCCATGACAAAGCATGGAAAACTCCGAAACGTAACTGATGTAATGTTAAAGTGAGCACTTTGAAGAATTGCGAACATTGGAGAGAGGTGAGTGATGAGTAATAGTCTACGTAGAGAGTCGGTGCTACCACATCAACCATGAACAGATAATAGAAATTATTTTCTCCTTCTACAGCTAATTACTGTTAGCCGCTGCACATGCCATGTTCAAGACCAGTGGCATCTGTTACAAACAAGAAGAACTGCAGCTGCAGGAAATAGAATTTTTTGGTAATCGCATGATTAATACTTAATTTATTACACTCATAATCTATTACAATAAATTAAATAATTAGAACATCAACTCATGGTCAGAGGTTCTTATTATAATTGTTGCCGATGTAGTCTTTTTCAACGTTCTTCGGAGGATCGGTGGCATAAGTGCGCTCGTTCAAAAAGTACCTGCAAAATAGAGAGTATTGTTGGTTGCCCTCTCCTAAAATAAATAAAGAAATAGTATATTACAGTGCGATTAAAAAGTCTGTTTATCGAGCAAGCCTGAAAATTTAAAATGTATATCTGCAGAATATTAAATGACAAATGAGAAATATTGAAATAATTTTTATATAAATTATTTCAGGAAAACGTTGTAAACGATTTGTACGTATAAATACCAACAACATCCCATTTTAGAATGTTTTGAGACGTTTCATAAAATAATTTAATAATAATTATAATAATATTAATTAATAATAATTTAATTTAATTTTTTAATAATTGTTTGACATCTACTTTACATACAAACTGTTATCGACTACGTACGTAGTACGCCTACTTGATAGAATGACTTTTTGATCGCACTGTATTACTAGGAGTACTTTTCCGTTGAGCTCAAATATTTTTGGACAAACTGAGCGAAACACTGCTCTGAGTGATATATACTATTTATTTTTTCTTCAAGTACACAAAATGCGGTGGCGGCTCGTGGGTTCAAAACTAGGTGAAGAGGTAAAAATTGTACATTTATTTTTTAAAAGCTGTGATGGTTCTTACGTTTAATCATTAAAAAGTATCGATCTCATTTACCCAACCAAATAATATATTCTTTTAATGTAATTAAGTAATTACTAAAAGAAAAAAAACTGACAATTTTACAGTAGGACGCGGTTAAAACGTCTTTTTGGTCATCTTCTTCCCACAGATTACGACTTTTTACAATCTCTTGATAAATTAACAGATAAGTGATCCGTGGTGGAATTACTATGGTTGCCATAGTATCAACAATGCTCAGATATTGATAGGCATTGTTGCTGCAATTAATATTGAATGTTAAATATCTTTTCATTTATTAATTCTAGACATTAAAAGTTAACTTTTTTAGATATACAATTTATCAATCTATTAGTTGCAAAAATACAAAATAGGGTGTTCCAGTTAATTTTTTTAAGTTATTCAACTTGTAATAAACTTCTTAATTTATTAATCTTTACAAATCTAAAACAGTAAAAATTGCTACAGCTTTAAATTCTGTACTTCCTTCTTTGCAGAAGTAAGAAAAAAATTGTTCTAGTCGCCTTAGTTTTTGTGTAATGAATTTTTAAAAAGTGAAAAAAAACGTCTTATTTCTAAAACTAAGCGAAATCGACTAATAAAAGTTTAGCGTAAAAACATTGTTTTAAAAAGCTACATCCAAAAATGTAAAGAAATATACAGTGTTTCATTTAAAAAACACAAATTTGTATCGTAACTTTTTTTGGAACATGCTGTACGGTTGAAAAGTGATGCACTAGATTAGTATCTATCAATGTTTTATACATTTTTTAAATTTTACCATTTAAAGGTCGCTAATAGATTTTTCTCGTCGCTGGGACGCCCTGTATGTCGTAGGCTAATTGTAAATACACTCGTTTTATAAAACGCCTAGTCATTTTGAAAACGACTAGGCAAATTGTAAATGAATGAGTAAATGCAAAGTTTTTACAATATGACGGAAAATTTTAATTCCTGTAAAGAGCTAAGCAATTTAGAAAGCAAAAAACAATAATTACAAAACGGGAACACACAGGGTCGCAATATCAAATGGTCCAAAGGGGGCCACTTAAGAATTTTTAAATATAAAGAATACCATAATTTTGCACACATTTTGCACAATTTTGCACACTAAGTTTCAAATTTAACACACCCTTACTAACTATTAATTAAAAAAAAATTCAGCACCCCCAATTTAGCGTAAACGCATAATTTTTATACCAATAAAATCATTAAATTTTGCACACTTCGTCTTTACGAGTAATTACCAATAAAAAACCGTAACACAATCTTATACGGAATTCGGTGTATTGCACTATTTTCATGAAACTTTACTCTTACAATGACTGGAGATATAATAAACTTTATCTCAATTTTATTATCTATGAAATTTTCACAATTTTGCACCTCTTTACTTTACAAGTAATTACCTATCATTTAAAAAAACCGTTGCAAAACCCCCGGTTTAAAATACTACTACCACTTTCATTATTACATTTCAAACAATTTGGCACCTTTATCTTTTTTTTTGCACCTCTTTTATACACTATACATTACTATTAGATAATTAATTTCTATCTAGTAGCTACATAAATAGATTAGGTTTATTTACATTAAAAAGATTGAAGTCGGCACTGCATTTTTTTCTTCAAAAGTCATCTTTGGCGACGACTGGTGATAACTGATGATACTGATAATACGCTAAAAATGCGTTATATCTATACAGCGTGTCCCAAGTTTTAGGGCCGGCCCAAAAACAAATATTTCTAATTGATTAAAAAAATATTTTTGCTAGTGCAAACGATAGAGGATTAAACAGACTTCAATTTAGTGCTTTGATATTATTCAAAATTTTTAGCGTATGACAGTGAGATCATAAAAACCAAATTTGAAAAAAAAATACTTAATTGGAATAATTTCAACAAAAAAATTCCTTAATTTTTTTCTAGTAATAATTGTGAAAATAAAATAATGCAAAAGTTGATAGGTTTTGAGTAATTAACATTTTAATATTGAAAATCTGAAAGTTCCAATAATTTATGGTTGGGTTTGCGGTAATTGGTGATCAGGCCACAATTTCTTAACAAAAGAAAAAGGTCCGCAATGACATTTATGACATACCCGAGCTCTACTGTGAAGCCTCCGCTCTAATGTAATATTAAACTTACCTTTTGTAAAACCAAAAGTTGTAGATAAAACGTATATAGTCTTTAAACACCCACTTCTTAAAAATTTATACTAAATACTTAAAAAAATTACGTCTTTACCTACAAGAGATACTGTAAAAATAAATTTACAAATTGCGAACAGCTAAAGATGAGTGGAAGGGCAACATTACTAAGAAATATTTTAAAGTACTCCTATGAAATCCTGAATCTGGGATTTTTAGTTTTTTTAGTAAACAGAGTCATGCTGTTTTAAACCCGTTGCAGCGGAAGTTGCTTATAGGAGTATAATTGTAATCGAGAAAAAAATTTTGAGTCAACTTATCAACCGTAGCATTTAAAATAAGCTATTGAATAGCTTAATTTTCATACATAAAGCTTTGTATAAAGTGAATACGGCTCTGAAAACCAGCCCAACTGGCTAAATTTGGAAATATTTTTATTGGGGGTTATTAAAACTGCCATAAAGCAATTGATTCTGTTTTCTCTTATTTTGTAGAAGTACTATAAATTTGTTGTTTATATCTTCAGCCATTGTAAGACGAAATTCTCATGAAAATAGTGCAATACTGCGAATTCCGTATAGGATTATGCTACGGTTTTTTTAATGGTATTTACTCATAAAGACGAACTGTGCAAAATTCGGTAAAAGATGTGCAAAATCGTGCAAAATTAAATGATTTCATTGGTATAAAAATGATGCGTTCACCCTAAATTGGGGGTGCTGAAGAAATTTTTTAATTAGTAATTACTCGTAAAATAAGGGTGTGCAAAATTTAATAAAAAGTGTGCAAAATTGTGCAAAGTTCACTAATAAAATTGACAGAACATTTTTGAACATATGTTGAAGTGGGGGTGTCACCCCAATATAATTTCAATCACAGGATAGGTGTGCAAAATTCAAAACTTAGTGTGCAAAATTGTGCAAAATGTGTGCAAAATTATGGTATTATTTATATTTAAAAATTCTTAAGTGGGGGTGCTAACTTCACTGACCCCCCAAAAGGACAATACAGCGTCGCAGACCAAGGTAAGCGGAGCGCAACCTTGTTTCTTCTTCTAATAGCATCTAGCAAAAAAAAATATTTTTCCAACAGAAATATAGGTATATAGTCAAAGTGCAAAATTTAAACTCTCATAACTTCAAAATTGTTATATAGAGACTTTTTTTAACATTTTTTTCCATGTTCCTGGTATCTTACCTTACATGGCATTTTTCTCTGGGGCGCTAGTTCTGGCGCAGCCTGTATAATATAAAATAACACTAAGAAACATTAGTTGATTAAAGTAACGAACTCCAAAAACATAAAAAAAAACTTTTAAGCTATGCAACTAAGAAAACACTCCATACCAACTTTACTAGAAATATTACTTTGTCTTTGAATTTTTTTAGGTATTGATATCTCCATGCAGCGTGCATTTTTAGTGGGTGTTTATAGGTGCGTCAGCCTTCCATCTTCAATATTTTACGAATTCCGTGTAAGTAAACACCCAATAAAAATGCACGCGGTCCCCAATGATACCAATGACCCATAAATGTCAAGAATTTTAGAAATATCCCTGGAAAAATTGGTATGAACTGTTTTGTTAGTTGCATAGCTTAAGCAAGCTAAATGAGGTCAAACCAACAAATACGAGTAGACCAAAAGTTCTTTTTATTAGGTATGTTTTTTGAGTTATTACTTTAACCAATTAGTTTTTCTTGGTGTTATTCTGTATTCTGTAGCTCATTGATTTAATCATTATATCTTATCCCCACAAAAATTCGGTTTCATTCACTGATAAAACAGTTTAATCAGTCCCCCGGGTCAGAAAAACGCTTTCGAAAGCAATAATATTTAGGCATCAATTTATACTATTTATTGCGTTTTATTCATTTATATAGGGTGCGCCAGAACTCGCGCCTCAGTTGTTAAAAAAAAATTATCTATAAAAATTTCGAAGTTATGAGGGTTTAAAGTTTGCACTTTGACTCTATTAGGAAAATAATTTTCCAAGTTTTTTTGCTATAGGCTATTAAAAGAGGAAACAAGGGAGCTGTATCCTAAATTGTAACTCTGTTCAATGTTATTTGTGGTTTTTATTGGCAAAATTTTTGTCCCTTTACTAAATAATTGTAAAAAAAAGATATACAAGATCATCAGTATCATAAAATAGATATAAGAAAATGTCAAATGTCAAAAAATATCATAAAATAGATATAAGAAAATGTCAAATGTCAAAAAGTAAATGTCAAAATTTTTTGACAGACAGGATTATTTAAACATTTTTTTCATGTTCCTGGTATCTTACCTTATTTTCTCTGGGGCGCGAGTTCTGGCGTACCTTGTATTTATATCCGTGGTCACATTCCATATTTTGCATAAATATCAATAATCACAAACTAATATTTGAGATTACACCTACTTACAGAATTCACGCCTTTTGAAAACAAAATATAGAATATTTAAAAAAAAAAACTGTTCAAGAGCTTTTCTTTTAAAATTAAAACATGTTGGTGCTTTGTAGTAGAAAAAATTTAATACAATACACGATGCTTAAATTTCTATTTTAGCCTCGGAGGTTTCACGAATGTAGGCTTTCGCCTCGGCCCTAAACTACCTCCTTGGCAAAAAAGTTCACTTACTCAACTGATAATTCAAATAACTATTACGGGTCGGCAATTTATTCCTAGAATGAGCCATTTTCAATCCAATTTTGCTCGCGATTTTACTACAGAATTAATTCAAAACTAATGTATTTTATAAAAATAATTGCTTCAATCTCAATTTTAGGCTGAAATAAAGCAATTTGTGATATTTTCAATCAATTTGGCTCAATTCGATGTTGGGAATCAACCTGTATCAAAGTATTTCAACCAAATACTGACTTCAATAAGAGTTTTCTTCCAAAATAAAGCAATTTGAGCTATTTTTAATTCAATTTTTCTAGATTTTGATACAGAATTATTTCGAAATTAATATATTTTATAAAAATCATTGCTTCAATCTTAATTTTAGGCTGAAATAAAGCAATTTGTGATATTTTCAATCGATTTGGCCCAATTTTAAGTTGAGAATCAACCTGAATCAAAGAATTTCAACCAATTACTGGCTTGAATAGAAGTTTTCTTCCGAAATAAAGCAATTTGAGCTATTTTCAATCCAATTTTGCACGATTGCAAAACTAATGTTTTTTTATTAAAATAATTGCTTCAATTCCAATTTTAGACTGAAATAAAGCAATTTGAGTTCTTTTCAATTGAATTTTGCTCGATTTTAATACAGAATGAATTCGAAATTAATGTATTTTATAAAAATAATTTCTTCAATCCGAATTTTAGGCTGAAATAACGCAATTTCTCAAGCGGTTTAGCTTTATTTTAAGCCGGAAATTAACCTAAATCAAAATATTTCAACACAATAATGTTTTGAATAAAAGTTTTCTTCCAAAATAAAACAATTTGAGCTATTTTTAATCCAGTTTTGTTCGATTTTAATACAGAATTAATTCAAAATTAATGTTAAAATAATTGACATTTTTTATACTGACAAAATAATTTCTTATTGATGACAACTGTCATCTATATCAAAAACACGTGACATGGTCAACAGAAAGTACATTAGTCTTCTCTGGTCAATAAAACTCACCATTTTGGAGCATCCGAGCAATCGAAAGTATTCTCCCAGTCGCAAACCCTGTACTCCTGGTTAAAACTGGTGCTGTTTGGACACACATGCGGTATTCTTCGTTTTTCCAGATCGCACATGTGAAAGATTTGACAATTGTATTCAACGTCGGCATAAAAACCGATCGCTCTATTCGTGCAGTTAAACGTAAAAATTGCATTTTCTAAATCCACCCATTTCTTGTGAATTTTATAGCAATCAGTTAAAATGAAACAAACGACTGTAACAAGTTAGATTGGCGTTTTTAATTATTTTGAATTATTTACTTGACTCACCTGAAACAGCTACGATTCTTAACATGGTCCTTCAACTAACCTACAAGAGGACGAATACATTAAAAATGTTTATGATGCAGTAGAAAACTGCTAATTAAAATTTTTGTGCATATCCTTTAAAAAGCAAGAATTAATAATTCAAATCACAAGTAACTGTGAGATTCAAGGACTGCAATCGGTGTTCTTTCAACGCTTATCTAATTAATCTATAAAATTAATACAATACAAGTCTAATTTTTTATTTGCTGATAGAGGTAGGGTAAATCAAGAAGACGACATGACTAACCTCAGTCTGTTTTTGACATTTGACAGCTTCTGACATTTTGCACCAAAGTCAAAAATTAAAGCTTCTCCCTGGCATTAGGATTTTTATAGGGCTTGAATTACAATTGTTATGATGATAAAAAAAATCTAAATATTAGACACAAAACAGTTTTTCCATTAAAAATGAAATTATAAATGACCTACTTGACAATAAGATACACTTTGACGTATGTCACTAGCTCTGCGTTACTTTAATTACATTTGTTAAAGTGTGATAAATAGCGTGACCGACCTTCTGCTGTTTACAAATGTTGAAAAGAAATAGCAATATTATAAATGATCCACACGCATAAATAAAAAACGAACTTTTTATGCACTCAGTACGTGTTGATTTTTTAAGCTTTCACTCGCCTGATTTTGACATTACTCTGGTCTCAGTTTAAAGAAAATGTTTATATTTGTATCCCCATCATGACGGTACTTCCTTTCCAAAACCAGCCCTCCATCTGTGATTTATTTGAATTTCTTACACTTTCACTAAATCTTTGTATTGAAGTTTTCTTCCAAAGTAAATATAAGTTTGATAATTATTTCTAATTAGCGATATAATGACAATCTAAGATGTCACCAGTTAACAAAAGGACGAATAATTTGATAAGAAGTTTGCAGTTTCAAATGCAGTTACAATATCTGAGACAATAGAGCGTGAATAGTTTTTTTTCAGACGCCCTAAATTTGCACATTTCTGGTTGGGCATGATCGAATTTAGGTGCATTTTCGAGCCACACTAGAGAAAACGAAACTAATATTCATCTACAGAGTGTTCTTTAAAAATGCCGTTTTTCTTTCTGTAGCTCTTTCCACAGCACTCGCAATCTATTATCGAAATATCTAGCGTAAGTGACTGGATCTGAGCGTATAAGATGAGCTTTTTCGCCTCTTTCTAAATTGAGCGCTTCTTTTTCGCTAATTGTTTTACAATTAACCACTTTACTCAAAATCACCAAAAGTTCCGCCCACGCGTTTTTTTCCATGAAAGATTTTCGAAAAACACATGTTTATTAAACAACAACTTGCTTAGTTTCGGCTTCTTCAAAAAGCACATCAATTTGTTCATCCAAATTGTCATAAGTGTCGTTAAATTGGATTGGAATGTTTTGTTGCGCCTGACATAATGTTGTCATTATTCCTCACCACTTTTCATCTACCATGATGCCCTCTTCTTGGTATAAGGTTGATTAATAAGGTACTTTACGGCTGCGATAACTTTTGCTGGTCGAATTGTTTCGTACAAATAACCTTCTTTAAAATTCATTTTTCTTTTTAATTTTAAATGAATGGAGTATGTACGTTTCATCTCTTGCTCGTAGTAAACACCGGTACATATTCACCACCTGTTCCTTGACGCTGCAAGCCATTATAAAGAGCAGTTGGGCCTTTTTTAACATAATTAAGACAAGTTGAACAGAATTTGTCTGGCACAAAGAACGTCTTGTCTACAAAATCTCTCCCGTACTTTTTCAAAATACTTTCTTCGCCTAACTTGTAAATTGTCCGTGCTTCAACCTTTTTAGCCTTTTCGCTGTCTTATCCATTTCTTTCTCTTTATCTCGATATTCTGACTTGTCTATTTTCAGGGACGACGCCAAAGGTGGGCCTAAAATCGTGTGTACCCACCCCAGTGCCCACCCAATTAAAATAAAAAATTTATAAACAAAACAATAAACAAAAAACTTATTTTATTTAAATTTATTTCAACCAATTTTTTAAACTTCGTATTTTAGAGAAAAGTTAATACAAATTGATATACAATGTACAAGTATTATAAATGTTTTTTATTTACATTTTCAACTGTCATGTTATTAGAATTAGGAACATTTATTTAAAATCTGAAATGGTCTATTAATAGTGTAGATCCATGGACGTAAATTATTGTTTTGATTCCCGAAACCTATGCAGTCTTGTTGTTTTTATGGTACTCGGAATTAATTACGCAATTTAAGTGGAAGTATCCACTTGAAAATGTAATGTGGTTGGTTGGTTTATAGAAGTCAGTCTGAAAAATAAAGTTTCGTGTAAAGACGTTTTTTTACCTTTTTTTTTTAAAAATGAGKAAAAGAAATATTACAGACTATTTTTTAAAAACGACTAAAAACACCGATAGTGCTGACATTAGTTCAAGTTCTATTAGTAGTGTAAAAAAAAAAACTCATATAAGTGCAAGTGATCCTGATGATACTAATGATACTCTTGACTTAAATATAAACTTAGACAATTTGAATTTAAATGAATTTTGTGATTACTCAGATGAGGCATCAGACAGTAGTGAATCAGAAGATCAGGAGTGTAATATTGATTCTTATTTGTACTTAAATAAAAGGCTACGTGAAGATGATCTTTCTCAATCAGGAACTAAAATTTTCAAATTGCAATTTCTAGATTTGTTAGACTCCTATAAAATTGTATTTTCCGAAATGCATAAACTTTGTACCATCGCAGTTATCATTCCAGTGTCTAGTGCAGCCTGTGAAAGGACATTTTCTTCTCTCAGGCGTCTTAAGACTTACTTGAGAAACAAAACTAGCGATGAGCGTCTTACAAACTTGGCAATTATTAGCATAGAAAAGCAACTGGCAAAAAATTTAGATTTAGACAAAGTCATAGATTCTTTCGCAGCAAAAAATCCAAGGCGTCTAATATTGCACTAGACAAACAATTTGTTTTTATTTTGAATACTGTTTTCACTTTTGTTTAATTTCGTTAATAGTGTAAAATGTAGGTATGTATGTGTGAATAGTATATATTATTACATGTTCCTATTGTGATGTGGAATGTACTATCTATAATAATATACCTACTATGCCTTTACAATAACCTTTTTTTATAAACATAAAAATAAATTTTAAGTGCCCACCTTAATTAATTTTGAGCTATTTGTGCTGACCCAGAAAAAAATACTGGCCTGTCTATTTTTAAACTTTTCGCTATCTTATTGCTTTCTTTTTTTTTCCCAATAGGCCAGATCATCTCTTTTTAATCTTTTCGCAATTTTGTCGCTTTCTTTGTCTTTTTGTCGAAACTCAGGACAATTTCTTTTAAAAGCCTTCCTTTCTCTGTCATTTCCTCTTTCCCTGTTTGTTTTACTGATAAGTTCATGACTATTCCTTTCAATAACTTAATAACTTCAATCTTTTCACTTATTTTACTTTTTTGTGATTTTTTTGGTTCCTATACAGAGTGTTTACGGTCTTGAGGTTGAAATATAAATGAGAGGATATTTACGGTAGAAGAAGACTAATACGCTATATAAAACAAAAATTCACGTTGTTAAAGAAAATTATTCATTTTACACTATTTGTTTGAGAACTGCTGCTTCGGCTGCAACAATGGCCATTAGTATCATTACCTTGTGTTTCACTGTAAATCATAATCACGACAACCAATTTATTATTTTAATATTTTGCCATACATGTTCATAAATTTGGAGAAAAATTAAGAAAAACGTATCAAACATATTGGAAACCATTCGCTGAAAGATATTAAACAGAAGATCTTCGAATTTTAATTAAAACTAAAGCAAAAGCAAATCAAATGATGACAGTATCAAAACTATGAAGTGACTTTTCTCTTTCATTGTCATGGATACGATTTTTTTATCTGTTGCAACAATACAATTTTATCTGAACAAGGAAATAATTCCAGTGATCCTCAAACCGTGTACCAATATTTTGGAGTTAAATAACATTCTTGATAATAACAATTGTGTGAGTTTTTTTCTCGGTTACAGTATTTCTGTACTCTTCTATTGCTAGGTCAATGTTCAACTCCAAGACTGTAAACACCCTGTATACGTTTGACTGTTCGTTTTTCTGATTTTTTGTTTTTGGCATAATTTATTGCAGAATTAAAAAAATAATTCAATTAATTCAATCAAGAACTTAAAATATTCAAGCCAAACATTAACGAAACAGAAGGAACACAATTAAATATCTTTCTGGTCGTTCTTGCAGTGCAGCAGCAACACAATTCTATTTTAGTACACCGGCGGATGTACAACTCCACGAAATCTGCGATCAACCAAACAAATTTACTAAATAATGTTCAGGCTGATCCAGAAATACTGTTTCTGTTGACGATATTGAATTTAAATTTTAAAGGGTACGAATAATAGTACATTAAAAATGGGGTGGTAAATATGGCATTACCTCGAGTGCTTATGAATACGATCAAGAGGCGCCAGCCTCTAAAATAAAGCACAAGGGGTAATGTCATTACCACCGAGGTTTGTATGCTATTTTAATCACAATCACATTATTTTCAGTCAAAAATTTGTGTAAAATAAAATTCTAATAAAGTTAAGGTCCAAACGTGGTAGAGCCATTGACATCTTACTATGGATACTAATCTCTTACGTGTAGTGTTGGGAAGTTATTTAATGATGTTAAAAACAACAAATATTCAAACTAAGTATATTTTTACCTACAAATTCAAAGTCAGGACCACATCGAACTTTTTTTTCGCGATACGATCAAGAGGAGGATTCAATAATAATCCTACCACCGCCGAATTTGAAGGGGCTTACAAAAAGCTTTTGTTGCACGCAGTTTATTATAATATCATTATCAAAAGGTATTCTTGTTTATTTATACAAGGTGATTCACGAGGAATAATGAGCCTGATCAAATTCTCGATGCAACCACCATTACCACCATTAGTTATTTTGCGACAACTGTAATGTTGGTTGCATCAAAAATTTGGTCAGGCTCATTATTCCTCGTGAATCACCCTGTATAATGAATTAATGATAATACTACATTACAATCAAAGTAATTCATGAGTGTACTTGATGTAAACAAATTGAACTATTGTAGATACTCTATTAAAACTAATTTTCCCATTGTATTTCATACAAGTTCCAATGCATTCTGTCACTATTGCGAATTGATGTTGACAAATACGCGTAAGTATTGGCCAAGCGCTGTGGTCAAGCGTAGTCCATTAGTAGGATGTCAATGGGTAGAGCTTGTTCCAAATCTGGTGGCGAACTGACGTTGTCAAAAATGAGTGAATTTTGACACTAAATATACCGGGTGGGGCATCCGTTACGCCCAAAAAGAAAATCCCTACTTCTAATTAAATAAAATTATTGAATTTTTTCACACTTACCTGGGCATTAGTAAGGTACATTCTCTAATTTTTTGGTAATTTTTTATTCACAAACAAAGCCAAAAAATTAATAATAAGTAATTTTCTCCCAAAAAATTTAATTCTAGTTTTTATACTGACCTACGCAGATTCACTTCCTACAAAATTCCTACAAAATCATACAAAACGCAATTTTCCACCTTAACTAAATCATTTTTATTTATGACCAGCTACTTGTGGCATCGTAAATTTAGGT